ACGTGTGTAAAGTCATAAATCAAGCTCAAATAAGAAGTTCTCTGAAGAATTCGAATGGCTGCCCAATATTTTATGCTACTTAGCTTGTCATAATAAACATTTGAACATATATATTTTTTATTTTGAACAATGGACCAAAATAACACAGATTATTAGACAACATCTGAATTAACAAATATGCTTGCAAATGCAATACTTTGCTTCCATTCAAAGTATGAAATGCTCTTAACAGATCACAATAGGTCACAATTGGATTGAATGCAAAGTTGTTAAAAAAAATCAAGTATGAGTGTCAATGAGATTAGTCCAACTATGGTGGTTGAATTTTTTTTCATGTGTATTCCTTGTTTGAGATCTCTAAACAATACTGCAAAAATAAGGGACAAATTTGAATAAGAAAAAAGTATAAGGTCAATAGACTAACTTGTTCCTCTCAAAGTGAATCATATTTCTATTTCACCTTGTGAAGGCTACTAACTTAAGGAAAACCAAATCCATTCAGAGATAAGAGAAGCACAATTTAGACAAGGAACTAGGAAAGTTCATAATGTCACAGCAAAAAATTGTGATCATACCATTTGCTGATTAATTTTCTGTGGAAAGAGCTTTATGGTATAGGTGGAGGATAAAGAAAAAGTGAGAGACTGTCTGGGAACACTGGACAATGGAGAAGAGAAAAAGATAGCACACCCAGCTTCCTTCTCAACTAAGGCAGGCAAAGATGAAATAAAATCCTTGAAAACAACCCAACCAGACTTCTTCAGATTACTTAGCAACACCTGCATTTCTTCTTGAACAGGTTGCATTATGGCGGCTGCAGTGACCTCTGAAGTTCCTGAGGTAGTGTTCCCAATATTTAAAGATTGTTTGTTTTGCACATATGAGAATATATTTGTTTAAAAAAGGAGCAAAAATGTTTAACTGTGACAGATACTCATTGTAACTATTCATGGTGGTAAATGATGTTAAAAATTCACAGGAGTAAGAAGTAGGCTCAAAAATATGTGAAAGGAAGAATATCAAATGATAGCAGGCAATTCTTCCTAAACTCTTCATCAAGTGCAGTTATTTTATGAATAATTTAATGTGAATCTTCCCTCCATTTCCAAATACATATCCCTATAATCAAGTTTTTTAAATCTGCAACATAGCTTGGATTTTGGAGTTGAAATATTAGAGTGACAGCATTTCATTTTTTTTCAACTGACCAAGCTTTTGCTTAGTACAACTTTTAGTCCTTTGATTAACAGTGATCCATCATACAGAAAAACACATTATGTTTAATATGCACAAACACACATGCATACCCATACATTTTTAAACATTAGAGTCCCAGAATACATAGAGACTAGAGGAAGGGAAAGTGAGACTCTGAAATATCAGCAGCCAGCTCCTTCTTCAAAATCCAAATTTCTATTTAAACCTGCTTGGGAATGCTGAGTTAAACTGAATTAATAGAAGAAAGAGTTATGATTGGCAACCAATCCATGGGGCATGTTCTTTTTGTTCTGTTTTAACCAACAAAGTTAATTATTGTTCTTGCTTCTCCTTCCAATGATTCAAGTGAGCAATTCTCTCTCCTCATTCAAGCACCAAGTATTTGTCTCAAAATGTCATGGTTCCTGGAGAACATCGAACATACTCAGACAATGTTGATACTGCTTCCCCCTTTACCTTTATTTATAAACCTACATATTTCTGGATACCTAGAGGACACTACCAACTATCTTGTTCTGGGGTGTTCTAATTCCTTTACATAGAGACAATGAGACTTTCTAAGTTAGCTATCTACCCCTCCTATCAATACTCCTTCTTTCCAACTGAATGGATTTAAGTGCTGCCTGCTAACTTCAGGACACATTTTTCTTAAAATTATTAAAATTTCAGGGAGAGCATTATTTTAAGTTTTCTATTATTTTGATCTTTCTCACACACAGTTTTGCTTCTGGCTCCTTCCAAAATACTGCAGTGGTACTACTAAGTCAACCCATCTAAAATTGAACCAATTATTTGAACTCTACTGAAAAATTGAGAATGATTGTTGCTAATAAGGGTAGATTTTATATTTATAAGGTGTTCCAAAGTATTTGAGATATGTAATTAGCATCTGCTTTATCTTACAGTTTCTTTCCTTCTGGTCCAAACCAATATAGATCCTGGCTTCATTGGAATTTGCCATTTACACCCTTTGTGCATAATGCTGTTTTCTTAAGCCTTCTCAAAGTGTCCCACTTTGTATCCCAGAGATGTGAGAATTTAATTCCAAATGAAAAATTTGGAATGGATTAGAACTGTTTATTTTTTTGAAATAGCACACATTGTGGATAAAAGATGGTCTAACTCAGTGATGGCGAACCTTTTAGAGACTGAGTGTCCAAACTGCAACCAAAACCCACTTATGCATCGTCGAGTGCTGGGTGGGTGTGGCTCATTGGGTGGGTGTGGCCCATTGGGTGGGCGTGGCTACAGTGGTAACAGCAAACTGGGTGGGACTAAAAAGTTCAATCAATCAATTCCAACTTTGCAAGATGTTTTTTTTTCCCGCAAGAAGTTGAAATTGACTGATCGAACCTTTTTTTTTTTTGCACACGGCGGTGGAGGCCTAAAGTGAAAAGGTTTTATAAAACCCAGCTGAAGGCTTAGGACTGGGGCGACGGCGCGCGTGCCCACAGAGAGGGCTCTGAGTGCCGCCTCTGATACCCGTGCCATAGGTTCGCCACCACTGGTCTAAATAATCTTACGTGGCACTATGTCATGCTGACCAAATGCATTCAACTGGCTTTATCTGTCAAACCATTCCCTACAGTGTGGTTGAGTGCTCTGCTATCTGTACCATTTAGTTTAGTGAACTAATACCAGCCAAAAGAAAGATAATGTATTTCTATAACCTTATCATCAACTTAATAAAAACTGTTTCCACTTGCTGTGCATCTATCATAGAGAATCTTTCTGTCCAATTTCATCCTTGCTTACAAAAAAAAAACCCTGAACAAAAAATATTTTCTTCTAATAATCCCACTATAACTATAGTATAGAGATATGTCAATATTAATCAACATTCATATTAATCAATAACAGTTAACAAAATTCAAATCCTAATAAGAGGAATTAATGTTAGTCAGTTTTGACATCACTGAGCATAGTGAGCATAGTTAAAATATTATATCATCAAATGGAAATATATTCCACTAGAATAGCAGGAACAAGCTTACGATCAATTCAGCCTGCTTTTAGTCTCTTAGAATAACTTAAATATACCCTTTGAGGAGGAAGAAATGTTATGTATGTTTGCCACCTTCAATTATTTTTTAAAATTATTGGTGGGTTATAAATAATTAAATATGGAAATAATTTGTCACTGCTTTCTTACAGGATTTTTTTTGAGATCAGCCAAGGTCAGTGAGTTGCATTATCTAACTTCAGTGTGTCTAAGAAACCTCTAATTTTAAGTATTTGAAGGAGTGGAGTAGAAATATGCATTCCAATAAATTATATATTTTATTCATCGTTCAGGAATCATTGAAAATTGGTTTCAAAATGCACTTGCTACATTTCAAGGGAAATATTTTCCTTTTTTTTGTTACATTTAGAATGTATGCTTGCTGTCATATTAAAAACTGACTTAAAAATAAGAAATATATTCCTTATTAGACTATAGTGGTTTTGTCATTTTTTTTCTTGCTGTAGATATTGTAGATTTTAAAGAGAGTATAGTTGTAAGAAAGCAAGCCCTGCAGTCTATCTGCTTCCTTTCCCCTCAACCTGCTGCATCCAAAGTTCTTTATTAAGCAGAAAAGATTGTCCATAATCCGGTGCTCATTTAAAGGAGTTGGACCACAACTCCCAGAATCTTTAAACAGCTCAGCTTAATAGATCAGAGGTGTTGAGAGCTATCAAACACATCTAGGAAAACACCAGGGGACAAAGCAACTCTAGAGGGTATTCATCTTTTATTTTAAGCTGTATTCTGAAAATGCTGTTTTTATAATTATTTATTATACAATGTATATACCTTTGAGTTAACTAAGATTATATATTATATAAATATATATAGATATATTTGAAGAAAAATATATTTCATCTTTCCTTGTTTCTCATGTCAATAAAGATACAAAGGCACTTAAAACAATCTTTTTAATATTTTCATACTGTTCTTGTGGATGTAATCAACTATTATGTAAGGAGGTGTTGCTGATTTCTAAAAACCGTAACCTACTGTAATTTTTCTGGGTTATAAAAAGAGATCTGAGAAAATGCAGTTGGAATCCACAAAGTACAGCAAAAGGAAATCACAATCAAAAATTTTTGCAATTTAAATGTGATTGCCTTCACATTCTTTTTTAATCTTAAGAATTTTGACTAGTAAAAGCAGGGCTTTTTTTCAGCCGGAACGCGGCGGAACCGCGTTCCGGCACCTTTTTCCGGGCCGGCCGCACCGGAAATAGCCCCTCCCACACCGGAAATAGCCCCTCCCAAATTTTACTTGCATTCCTGTTCTCTAAAGGGGCGGTCCTAGGGTTTGATGAGGGCGTGGCCAGGTTTGAGTTCCGCCACCTTTTCT